AGCCCATCTCGGGGGTCATCAGGATGACCTTTACGTTCCTGTTGCTCAGCAGTGGTTTTTATCTCGGGGCTCTGCCATGCAGGACACTTTTGTCCAGTTTCTAATGATGGAGCCATGAACACTGACTTTAACTGAGGCCTGCAGCTCTGTGGATGTTGTTCTGGGGTGTTTTCTGATCTATTGGACGAGTCGATGCTGCGCGCTGTAATTTTGGTCAGCCAGCCAAAAAGTAAAAATTAAAAAAAGCTTTCCTAAATAAAGGTTTTGTAGGACTTTGGGTGTGGCAAGGAGGTTACGAAACGATCGATACGCAACCACAACAGCACATGAAAAGTCTGTGGACACCCCCAGTTTGAATCTCCACACAAAAAGAGCCCAGAGTTTGACCAGCAGCTGGTTTACACATTTAGCACCATCGGAAATATTCAGAATTTCAAGAACATTTTTAAATGAAGGAATTCTTCACCGAAGGCTGTTCAAGAAAGCAAGCAGAGACGCCGGGCACAGACGGGAGACAATTATCCAAAACACACAAAAGAGCTAAATGAGTTGTTGTTTTTATGTCGCACAAACATGACAAAGGCTGAAAATTGTTGTTCTTAAAAACAGCTGCTAATCAGAATGTTGAGTGAAGCTGATCCATGAACAGTCGACACAGCAGGCAGGTTTTAAACTTTAATGTCAAGTTAGGATGGATGGCTGTGGAACATTGAAAACACTCATTTCAGTATAAACATATGCATTCCAGTGGCATTCAACAAGTCAGCACCAGCTGTCAGGAGTGTGGGTCAGCGTCTCAGCTTCAAGGTTACTGAAGTCCGTTTGAGCTCAAGCAGTGACGTTCGAGCTGGTTCTGGGGAGGGCTTGCTCTGTGGCACCTCGAGCCCCCGGAGTCGGGGTTAGAGGCTGGTTTTCACAAGTGTCCATGCTTACATCATTTATCTGACTGATACTGCAGCTGGCACATGTACGGGGCAAATATTGTCCTCAAATACAGGTGATCACCCACAGACTGCTCCGTCGGGTGCACGGGGGTAGCAGATGCTTCGGTTATTGAGCAGCTCACGAACTCGGTCCACTAGTGGCTTCGACACATGCATTTTGTTCAGTAGTACTGCTGTAACCGTGAGAATCACACTGATGTGTCAGAGATCTGAGCTCAACGTCTCAGCTGAGAAACAGGTGACACGAGACTCAGGAGGGTGAAGAACGCCCGACGCCCAGACCTTTGTTCAGCTGCCATCAGTCACACCGTGGACCTCATTTGTTCCACACAACAAACTCCTGTGTTTGCTTTGAGTGTTTGGAGCTGTTCAATAAGTGAAGCCTGACGGCAACAAAGACGCCGTCCTGCATCAGGACACTTCAGTCCATCGTTTGATTTTCTACAGTTTATGTTGAGGTATAAAATGCTTTAATGGCGTGAACTGCAGGAAGATGTCGTCATTACAGCTAATTTATTAACCATCTGCACAATATATTTGCTGTCATCAGCGTTCATAAAGAAAAAGATTCGATCTTCAAAAACCATCTATAAAATCTTACAACACGGCCGCACGGTTACAGTAAATGGTGCCGAGTAAGCTCGAGTGCATCTGTAAAGTCGGGATTATGTACAAACACCTGGCTAGATAAGAAGTCAAACCCTCGCCCACAAATAAACTTGACAATTTTTATTATTTGAAGAAAGTTATAAGCTTTGTTAAATTTTATACTGAGTTCTTTTATCATTTCCTTTTAACATGAACCACACGAGAAAGACTCACAAGAATAAATGTCTAGAAAATGTTTAGCACGAGTGCACTGACTTGTTGGTTTTTCCTTTTTTTTGTTTTTTAAATATTTTAGAAGTTCATTATTAATGGCCTGCTTAAAGGCACTGCCACAATACAGGGGTGGAGGGAAAGCTACTGTCCATCACTCGCACAAGACAGTCCATTCTAGTGTCTAGTATATACGGGGAGGTGAGGGGCAGAGGGTGGACGTAGGGCGCCGGCGGTCGGGCTGCTATAGGTAAATCTCATAGAAATCGTCCAGCTCCTCGTGAAACAAGTCCCACTCGTCCTCTGAGTCGGTCACCTCGTCGTCGGTTCCCGCGGCGAGCAGCATGAGGAGCATGTCGCTCAGCTCGAACGTTACCATCTCCTCGTCCTCGTTGTCGAAGGAGTCGGTGCTTTCCCGCTCGTCGAGGATGTCCCACAGCGGCGTTCGCCTCGAGTTCTGAAAGGAACCGCAAGAAAACAACGAAACACATTTGTGCTTTTAACCATGTGGACACA